AAAATTCCTTAATTTCGCATTTTTAGAAGAAAGCAAAATACCTCAAAAGTTAATCAACACATGGATTTTGTGGTACATATTTCCTTCATATTGACTTTTAACCATGCAGCAATTGCTTATGTTCTTCACTGTAAATACTGTACTTCAAAATTAAAAAAAAATGTGTAATTAAGTATATTGCAGTCCAGATATGCTCCACACTAACTCAATCTTCCATTTATTATAAGAGGTATTAAAACATTGACTTAAATATTTTGACTTCCAAGAGTGAGATAGCTATTAATTTTTATCAGTGAGAGCAGCAGATTTGATGTTGACAGGGTAAGAAAGTGCCAAAATGAACTTTTTATATGAAAAGCTAAAGAATTAGAGTAATAAAATGCCAGATGTGTACTTACATTTTTGAGCATTTATAAGGAAGAAAATACTCTAATTTTTCTGTAATACAGCATTACTTTTAGAAGCCTTGTGCAATCCGTCTTTCAAGACAAGCTGAATGGTTTTTCTAACTGTGGATTTTTTACTCAAAATGTGATCTTTTAAAATTGATTTGTGATTATAATTACCAGCAGCACACCTTGTTGCTAGTAATTAGTTTGAACTTTATGCCTTTTCCCTGTCTGTTATAGAAATTATTCAAGTAATAGAATTTGAAACCATTCCACTCTCTGTGCAAGTGACACAGAGCAAGGGATTACATGCATACATGCATGCATAGGTGCATAAACATGTCTCTGTGTGAATATACCACAGCTCTGCAATAGCATAAGATGATGGGGTGTACTTGTAAACAACAGTATCTACATACTTTTTGAAGACTTAATCCAGTTAATATACAATCCCTTTTTACTTTACAATTTTTTTTACTTCATAAGATTTTTGAGCAATCAGGTGCTCTAACTCCCTACAACTGACGTTCTGTTTTCTCATTTAAATTTCATGTTTGCCAGCTGCTTAGAAAAGCCAGACTTGTTGCATAGTAACAGTGAAAGGAAAAATAAAGAAATGTGGCATGATTTCCATGGGCCAGATATGGAATAGATTCCAAAGCCAACATCCAAAATATTCAGAGTCTTCCATGAAGACCTAGTGGATCTTTTTGAAACCAGTCTTAAATATTTGAGTTTTCTCCAGGTGGGGTATATATGTACCCATGACTAAAAACAAATTCCACAAGAATAAGTCTGCACTGTGATAAAAATTTATCTAACCTCTGCTTATACCTTAAATAATAAGTCTAGTCTTTTGACTGGTTATTCTACTATTATCCAGTTCTGATGTTTAGTTATTACAAAATCAGAGGATCACAAAATGCCTGGTATCAGAAGGCACCTCTATAGCTCATTTTGTCCAACCCCCTTTTCAAGCAGAGTCACCTAGATCCACTTACTTAGGACTGTGTCTAGACAGCTACTGAATACCTCCAAGGATATAGACTCCATAACCTCTCTGAGCCACCTGTGCTGGTGCTCAGTCACCCTCACAGTGGAAAAGTGTTTCCTGATGTTCAGACGGAACCTCCTGTGATTCAGTATGTGCTCATTGCCACTTGTTCTGTCACTGGATACCACTGAAAAGAGCCTGGCTGCCTTCTCTTTACACCCTCCCTTCAGGTTTATGTATACATTTGTAAGATCACCTCTGACCCTACTCTTCTCCAGGCTGACCAGTCCCACTTCTATCAGCCTTTCCTCATATGAGAGATGCTTTGGCCCTTTAAACAGATTCATAACCCTTTGCTGGATCCCAGTAGCTCCATATTGCTTTTGTTCTGGGAAACCCAGAACTGGTCACAGTGCTCCAGATGTTGCTTTATCAGTGCCAAGTAGAGGGGAAGGATCAGTTCTCTTGGCCTGGTTGGCAGCACTCCTCCTAGTGCAACCCAGGATACTGGTGGCCTTATTTACTCCATGGATATATTATTGGATCGTATTTAATGTGGTGTCTGCCAGGACCCCCAGGTCCTTTTATGTAATGATGCTTTACAGCTGGATGGTCTCAGCATTTTCTGGTGTGTGGGGTTGCTCCTTCCCAGGTGCAAGACTTGACACTTCCCCTTGTTGAACTGCATGAGGTTCCTGTCAGTCTGATTCTCCACCTTCTTGAGGTCCCTCTGATGTATCAGCCATCCCTCGCAGCTTTGTATCATCAGTAAACTTGCTGAGGGTACACTCTGTCTCATCATCCAGGTTGTTAATGAAGATATTAAACTGGATTTTTCCCAGTATTGACCCCTTTGATGCACCACTGGCCTCCAACTTGACTTCATGCTAAGATGATCAATACTATCACAGGCATGGTCCATCTCACTGTCTGCTAATTCACTACATTTTTTTTACTAGTTAAGGAAATTACAGATTACTATCATTTTCACCCTAGGCCACTCCAAAGTTTCACATTCTCTTTGTTTTCCAGCAACTCTAAATAACCTGGTACAGTTTTTTACATCTCATAAAAAGTTTCAAATGCTTTACAGTAAAGCTTATAATAAATAAACATTGCAGCAGTCTGTTATTGTAGAGTGGGTCGTGATATATCACTGGAGGAAATAACCTTTATTTTATTGAGTTACTTTGTTTTAAAAGAGACTTTCAATGCTTCAGGAAAGAGTCACAGAACTTCTTCTGGATGTAAGGTCTTCCATTTACATAACCTTTAGATATTTTCAAAATTTTTATGAACATTCTTGTTTTTCTCTTTACATACTTCATTTTGCTATTAAGGAGATCCTCGTAAAAATATTTGCATATATTTCATTGCCCTTAAAGTCTATTGCATCCTACTTTTCTCTCTCCTTATTGGTGATCCATCTTCTTTTTCACTCTTTTTCAGAGTTTTCCTGCTTGGGGAATTTTTCCTTATGGGAACATGATTTTCATCTCTCTGTTGGAAGATCTAGCCACTCAGTGTTTAGATATCATTAAAAGTGTTCTGACTCAGCCAGACTGAGAATAACAATTTGATTGAATTACATACAGAAGAGCTGCTAAAGACTAATCTATTTAATGGTAGACTATTTAAAAAGCAAATATTTACTGGGCAAATATGCTTAAACGTGGTTGACTTTTAAGCATCTCTGATAATACCTTATTTACAGATTTTGTTTTTATTATAATAGTATTGGTATATTAGCAATGGTAATAAAGTATATCACCTCAGGTGTCATAGATTTTATTTCACCATCACTCTTGAAATGCTGAAAAATTGCAAAAAGATTATTTTTCAAGGCTGAGGAAGATCTACCATATTTCTAGAATGTTAACATTTCTGTGTGCACTGTTACCAATGTTACTGTATTGTTACACAAGAACATACTTTAAGAATTGTTTTGTGCAGCAAATTGCATGGTCTAGATTACACTTCAACCTGGATTCTTGCTACTGGCACTGCTTTATATGAAAACTCCTTCATATGGGGAAGATCCTGGCAGGACGTTTTTCACCTTCTTCCTCCTTTGTACTTTGCTAATGTGGTGGAGTGTTTTCAGTGGATCGAAGTGATCCTTGCAAACTTAGTTAAAGGAAGAAATGCAATGGTTACGTGGGATACAGTTGGGATGTTAATTTGAACCAGAATTCAAAGTTTTTTGTTTCAGCATTAGTTATCAACATCCAAGTACATTAACTGAAATATTTGGTTACATTTATCGTTGTTGATTATCATATGTATCTACTGATCTATAAAACTGCTTAACAATTAATGCTAATTGCCTAATCAGTTATATTTGTGGTTCCAGAAGGTCATGAGTATTTACTCATGATTTATATTTTGCAACTGTAAAAGATAAATGGGAAGAACACCAGCAGCCTGGTTACAGAGGAATAATTTAAAAAGTGATTTTACAACTCCAGTTTTTGAAGTCAATACATTTTGACCATTGAGATTAAAATGGCCAATCTTACTTACAAACACTAGATTTTTTCATTATATTATTTGGTTATGATTCTTGCTATCCTGGATAGACTAAGGCTAGAGGGAAACAGGAGTTTTGGTGGTGGATTGGTTGTGGGTTTGGTTTTTTTCATTTGATACATCTCCTACTTCCAAGCTTTCTCTTCATTGTTTTGTTAATAGTTCCTTCTTCATTGACACCATTCTGAAACAAGAACAACTCTATGTGTAAATGAGAAAAACAGTGCAAAACATTTTTTTAGGTGGAAAAGCAAATGATAAAACTTTCCCAGACAAGATCAGTTTATTCTAAGAAAACATATCTTGAAATGCTTTAGTCTCTCACATTTCTGATTTTGGACAGTATCTTCAAACTGGGCCAAATATTGTGAAATGATAATTTGTCTGTGGATTGTTGTTTATTGAATCCTAGGTCTAAGACCAAACTCATTTCTTCTATTTACTACACTTGGCTATAAAAGTGTGATACAAATCCTATCAGACAGCAAATATAATCATGTTTATCTGATGGAAAATAGCACACGTATTAGACTTATTACCTTGTTAACACAATGAATTCCACTGTAAATCCTTATAATATTTTTTCCCAATAAGGCCAAATGGATACTTCTCACAAAGAAATGTCTCCTCTTGGTCAGTGGGGATGGCAGACTATTCAAAAAGACAGAATGAAGTTTACATTTCTCTAGTTAAGTTGAGTGCTATACTGTAAAATGCAAAATAGGCAAAAAGATTCTGAATGGGTCTGTAAATATATCCTCTTTCATTAGACTGATGTATTAAAATATCATGTGGTTAGCTGTGTGATGTTCTCACTTGCTAATGTATGCAGAAATATTTTTGAACTTATTCTTCTGAAAGAGAGAGACAGAGAAAAGCAGGATTTCATAACAAAAAAATAACTTGGTATGATAGTATCAATAATTTCTGCATTAAAAATTAGTGTGCTGCCATAGTTTTGAAACATTTCTCATTTTCAAGAAGTATATGTATAATTATGTCATTGAAGCACATTATCAAATTTTAGCACATTGACATTAAAGCCTAGATATTGAACAAAACTTATTTTATTTTTCTCTATTTTTAAGATCCAGATTTTAAGGACCTTGGCGTTTTGAAACCATTGCCAGGTTGGTATGTTGGTTTTGGGTTTTTTTCTAACTTGGAGGCCTTTATACTCTTCTGTAGAAAATATTTTTGTTTGCTGTTCAGGTTTCATTTTTTCTGGTGTTTTGTTATTCAGTTTGTGAGTTTGAGATGGGAGGACCTGAAGGAATTGTGGAATCTGTACAAATTGTCAAAGAAGGAAAAGCTTCTGAAACTGAAGCAGTAGACTGTAAATGGTACATCCGAGCGCCACCCCGATCCAAGGTCAGTCCTTCATCCACTTGCTGATTTGCCATTTAATTTAAGAAATTGACTTTTCTAATATATTGTGCATTTCTTAGTACAGTCAGATCTCGTTTAATAACTTTACAGCTTGAACTGTAAACTATTTTTTCCTTCTGCTGTGGAAGGGTAATTTGTCATCTCAGCCAAAATAACCACCTTTCTCTATAAGTGATGATGTGGGCAGTGCTAATGTGCTTTTTGTGCCATAAGTGATTTTCTTAAATTCATCTTTAATTTTGCTCATATTTTTAAACAATCAACATGTTTTCTTAAGTGGGAAGTAATCTTATCATTTTAATTTTCAATGTATTTCAAATACCTAATATAGAGACTACTAAGGGAACACTGCTGGCTCCCTAAGGTCATCATTATTTCTCATCTGGGAACTGTGAAAATGGACCCAAGGTAAATTCACGTTCCTCTGTATAAAACCTTTAGTGGTTTAGAGCCACAGACAAAAAGAGATAGTGTTCTCATTTCCTTCCCACCACAGACATCAAGCAATGCCTTTGTAAAATGAGAGGGCTGCAACGAATTTAACAATACTTTCCTGGATTCTGCTTGATTTCCCCCCTTATCCATAGATTATCAGTTATTATAGCATTAATTGTTGCTGAAAAACTACTGCTTCTCCCTTCTTTACAATTGGAACAGCTTTATGCCTCCTACCTACTTTTATTCACTGTGTTAAAGAGATTCCACAGTATACTTTTTCTAACTGTCTTTTATTGGACAGGAAAGGTTTTACAAGGTAGAATTTATCTATGCACTAATCTCTGCTGTCTTTAAACAGATAAGGGTTTTTGTGTATAATCTCAGAGAGGAGACTGTACTGGATATGTAACTGTTTCATCATCAATATAACACATGGATGAATGCTGTAGGGTTCTCTTCAGTAAGAGTTTCCAGAAGAGAAAAAGTCATTAGTATCAGCATTTTTCTTATGGGAAAGTTGAGAAGAAAAGTTGGCTCATAAAGGCTACAGATAAAGTATTTCCAGAATATGCTTTAATCTCATATCATTTTTTTTTTTACTTTTTGATAAATTTAATATTGATAGGGGTTTTCAGTTAAGTAGATGAGCTTCCCACTTTGTTATACCAAGCAGTGATATGAGATGACTGGGCTGATGAATGATTATTACATATATTATATGTAATTTATATTCATTCAGGGTACCCCCAGTATCAAAACAAGCTTGGGGATGAACAGATTGAGAGCAGCTCTGCCAAGAAGGTCTTGGGGGTAAATGAGAGGCTGGACATGAGCTGGCAATGTGCACTTGCAGCCCAGAAAAACAACCATATCCTGGGCTGTATCAAAAGCAGCGTATCCAGCAGGTCAAGGGAGGTGAATCTACCCCTCCACTCTGCTCTTGTGAGACCCCACCTGGAGTGCTGTGTCTACCTCTGGGCCCCCAGAACAGGAAAGACATGGGCCTGCTGGAGGGCCAGAAAAATAATGAGAGGAATGGAGCACCTCTCCAGTGAGGAATGACAGAGAGTTGGGGTTATTCAGTCAAGAGAAGAGAAGGCTCTGGGTAGACCTTATAGTAGCCTTCCAGTACTCAATGGGGGCCCATAAGAAAAGTGGGGACAAACATTTTAGCATGGCCTGTAGTAAGAGGACAAGGGATAATGGTTTTAAACTAAAAGAGGGTAGATTTAGAATAGGTATGAGGAAAAAGTTTTTTATAATGAGGGTCTTGGAACACTGGAACATGTTGCCCAGAGAGTTGGTCGATGACCCATCCCTGGAAACACTCAGGGTCAGGTTGGACGGGACTCTGAGCAACTGGATTTGTTTGAAGACATCTTTGCTTATGGCAGAGAGTTGGACTGGGTCCCTTCCAACCCAAAATATTCTATGATGTACTTAGATATTAGTAGAATGAAAACAGGTAAACACAAAATTAGAATAGCACTTCTTAGAATCAGCACAAATAAGCCAACAAAATTATCCTGTAGTCTTAATTCAAGTTCATAATTGGTTGATCTAGTAATGTCATTGTCATGTTCTTACTTGATCTAACTCCAAAGTTCTATGATTCAAAAACCTCCTAAAAATCCCTTATTTACTTACCTGTAGTATTTATCCACACTTCAGTCCTGATGTAAAACTACAAATTGGGTAGCTACATAACCATAAACACAGAGTATAACAGAAGGACACCACACTAACACTGTTAATAGAGTGTTAAAGATTGAAGTTCGTTAACTCTTCCATACCTACATTTAGTTGTGTTGCATTTCAACAAGTGTATCCTAGCTGAAGGGCATCTGGAAGGGAGAGCAACAAGAGAGTTTTAGAAAAATGGAAGTAGTACTAAAAGTTATTTAATGTAATCTACATGATTTTGTGAAGGAGTATGATATAATAAAAGGCTTTTACAATGAGGAAGGAATGCTCTGAAGTCCATGTCTGTAGTATAACTCATGGTCCCACACTCTGAAAGTTTCAGGTTAGATACTAAAGAAGAAAATTTCAAACAACAGTGAGGGAATTATGATTGGTTGGGATTATGAGTGATTGGTTGAAAAAGTCTGTTCAGTTAGCGTTGCTAGCAGTCTTAAAGTGTGGGTTAGATAACAATAATGGGATAACAATAATAAAAAATGGGAGAAACAGTACTAATCAATCCTACCTTTAGGCAGAGAGCTGGGATGGGTCATCTCTTGATGGATCTTGCTGTTCCCATCTTGCAGAGCTATCTGGGTAGAGAGATTGAGCAATATAAAAGAATATAAATTAGTGTTTCCTAACATGTGGAGTTGAAAGATTTCACAACAAGCTAGGAAAAAAAGTTTTCAAGCCTAGGTCCATCTTCGAGGGGTAAGTCCATTTGAACTTTCTTAGTGTTGTTTCCAAACACATATATATATATATACACACACACAGAGGTATATACGTTTCACCATACTGGGACAGGTTGAAAAATTTTCAGATATTAAGGAAGGAATAAGTGAATAAATTTTAAAGAAACATGTATGATGTAAAATTTATGATAACATTTTTTATGGGTCTGATTCAATTGAACTGAATTCTATTGTCCATGCTTTGCCATCAACTTCCTTTGTGCTTATATAACCTTGAACTAATGACATATTCAGTACAATTATTTAATGACATCACTTTAATTTATGTCAGCTTTCACCTATGAAAACAGACTCTTCTGCTAAGAACAGTGAGAACTCAGTAGGCATCTTTAAATTCACGTGTTCCTGTACTCTGGGCTGCACAGTTTGTTACTGGGAATTATGCCTAAAAGGCCAGAGTTTCTCAAACAGAGTTTGTGCTGGATCTTTTCATCTTTAGTTTCTTAATTAAACTGTGCCAGAATGTGGGTTGCTTGCAATTTCATTTGGCTTAAAATCATCCAATCTAAACTGTCTGCAGAAGCAAGATTCAAGTCCTTCCCTTGGTTTCCAATTCCGTATTGAAGCCAAGTCTGAGCTCAATGTATGAGCAATGAGATTAACCAGGGAGTATGAACTTGAGATCTCTGAACCTGAGCTTCAAGCTGACAGCCTGGGTGTAATGTTGCTATCCTCAGTGAGCTGGAATGAGACAGAGGGCAGCAAATTTCTTGCACACACTTAAAACAGAGTGATCACTGATTACCTTATATTACAAAAACCCTCACCAAAACAAAACAAACAAACACCCCCCCCCAAAAAAAAACCCAAACACACAAACAAACAAAACCAAAAAACCCCCCAAAATGCATGCAGAATGGAAACTTTCTGTAAGTGCAGAAGACAGCATAAGGCAGTTTGAACACAACTTCAACCTACATGCAGACCTGGAGTCATACTTGAAAGTGACTGGTTGAAAAGTGTGTGTTTCTCATAATCATTCAAAGTCAGTTGCTGCTGTGAATTCAGTAATATTGGGGGTTCTGCACTTCATGTAGAATATGACTTCAATCAGTAATCAGAGCAAGAATGTAAAATTAAGAAGTGAGCTGCTGACTGAATGTGCCAACCCACCCAGAACAGTAAAGTTCTGGAGGAACATCCCCATCTGAAAATTCTTCACTGGAGAACAAAGCCCAGAGAAGGAAGTGTATAAGCTTTTCGCATAAGGATTTGAAAAACTTCAGAGATATCATTGCCTACAAGCACTGGATAAGCAAAGATTCTGTATTTCGGAATAGAAAATAAAAAGAAATTTAGTATTGTCTTACTTTCTGATAAGGGTGAAATTTTGAAGGCTAATATCAACAAGTGTTTTTCTATATTGGATGTATCAGCAGAGTTTGACAAGGCCCCCCAGGAAGACAGAATGCATGTTTGTGCTCAGGTAGCGCTCTCTTGGGTGAGCAACTTTCCCAAGAATTGTGTCATGCTTGCTCTTTCAGAGGTTCTGTAGAAAAAAAAAAGACAGCAGAATGTGACAATAAGAGTAATTAAATGTTTACAAATATGATATTCTGATGCTGGGAAAAAAACAGTGTGCAATGCTATTATAAGCACTATTACCAGAAGCTCTGGGCAGCTCAGGAAACAGCATCAAAAACTACAGATAGGCAAGAATTAATTTGAATGTAGTCCAGTGAAAGTCATCTATTCTGGAGGAACGAGCAAGAAGTACATTTGTACTGAGAAAATAGCAAGGATATCCACTGTATTTACACTATGAGAAAAAAAAATGGAGTTATAAGCTTTTTAGACAAAGTGATGCCTAATTTTCTTACCCCACCTGAGCAAGCTATGGGGCAAAGAAGATATCTTTTCAGGATCTTTATAGGATGAAAGGCTTGATACAAAAGATTGAGAAACCAAAAGTATCAATTAACAAGTATCTAGTTTTGACATATTATTACAGTGCCCTTAACGCTGAGCTGCCTGTGAGTGGCGAAGTTTGTCTCAAGCAGAGCCATTGGGGAGCAGAAGGAGGGGGCTGCACTGTACACAGAAGGGGGCCAGGCAGAGGGTGGCCACAGGGCCAGGACATGGCTGATAAGGAGAGTTGGGCAC